TTTTTTTTTTAACGTGCTCCATGTAAACCACATTGTTTCACGCTCAGTGTGAGTCTGCATGCACCACACTCTTAGGTATTCATGAATTCATTTCCTTTGTGCCAGCTCCCTTGCCCAGGAGTTTCAGGTCACCCTCGGAGATCTTAAGGCCATCAGCGTTTTCTGCCAGGGCTCCTCGCTGAAGCCCTTGATTGTAGAGGAGGCTGCCCAGAGAGGAGTGTGGCAGCCAGTGCTGCAGGGACAGCCAGAGGCTGCAGAGAGAAGAAACCAGTGGGGCACCTGCTGCCATCCTTTGGGTAGCTGAAAACAGAGGCATAGAGGAGCAGAGATGGGTGAGAGTGGGAGGGTAGAGGGGCATTTTGTTTGCTGAACCTGGCTAGTGGATTGGGGAGAGTGGCCGACCAACCTTATTTGTGAATGTAGATCTCTTGGCTTTTTAAATAGCTCCTGCATGGCCACCTCATACTCCACCACAGCCTTGCTTTTGGGGGCTCCTAAACCCAACCTGGGTCTGGGTTTTGGTTACACTACCTGCAGCCTTCCTCTGCTAGGTGTCTGCCTCTTCTTTAATATACTGTCCAGTCATCCTTCTTTTTAAATCCTCTTCCCAGCATATTACTCTGAAAGTCCACATGGCATTTGCAAAGGTAAAGTGAACAATGTGTTTAGAAAAAAAAACTTGATTTTTCCTTCACCTTACTGTAAATGTTTCTGCATTAGTTTTGTTTGCAGTAATGAAATTTTCTCTTTAGAAGGAAGCTTTTGAGTCTTGTTACACCCTTCTGCATTTATTCCCCTGTAAGCATATTTTCCACAAACATGAAATTGGTTGAGGGCTGCTGACAAAACACACTCCTAAATTATAAAAAAGTATCTAAAAAAGAACAGAAATATTGTTGGTGAAACTCATTAATAAAATTCCTATCACTCTGGTTATTCCTAATACCTCTGTAATCCTCTAAAGAACTGTCTGAGATCATTTAGCTAAAAAGTAAAATGTATTCACATTACTATAGAGCTCATAACATATAACTCTTTCAGAACCACTAAAAAGATTTTACTTCTCCCGTGCCAATAGAGTACAAAAGCTTCAGATGAACAGGGTCTGGTGACTGGGGACTTTTCATTTCATCATTCTAAAGCCCTTTGGCACAG